CATGGCTGAACTACTGTTATGCATCTGGTTAATGTTCGGAAGCCTGCTGGTATATGCATTGTACATGTTGTCCTGATAATGTGTCATACTACTTGTACCTGAAAAAAGTAGAAATTTCACTTTTAATAATTGTAAGCTAATGCTTTTATTGTTAAAATGTACCATTTTATTATATAATCATTTCGAGACTAAAAGGTTCTATAATAATAGTTTTCAGTTTTTATTTTATAACGGTCTTAGGCAATCTTTAAAAATTTATTTGTATGTCCTCTCCCAACCGACTAGCTAAAAATGGCCCAACTCAAAATTTTAACCTTTAATCTTCACCTAACCATTAACTAACCACCTAAACAATGTTTATTGGAAAAAAAATATTTTTTTTTCATTTCGGAATTTTCTTATCCCGTCAACAAGTATTTTAATTTGTTTTAAAAATTCAGCATTGATGTTAAAATATTCTGAGGGAAAAAAAATTCCCACCTACCTACTGACCCAATTTTTTTTTACTCCGAGTCGGGAAAGGGCAAACAAACATCATTTTAAAGATGGCCTTATATCAAATGCATTTAGAATTTAGATACAGGGTTCTCCATTGAATCTGAAGTAGGTGGTAAAACTGGACAAAGTAGCAGGGGCCCGTTTTACAAAAGAACTTACGACTAAGACCAAAATTTAATTCTACTTGTAACTTTTCAACTTACATTATATCAAAAATGGTTTTAATCTTTTTAAAAGGAATGTAGTAAGACATTTTTATGCTGGCAATTTTAAACAAAATCATTTATTTTGCAAAATTTTACAATCAATTTAAGTTTTCAGTCTTAGCTGTACATTCTTTTGTAAAACAGGACCCAGATTTTTTGTGCGAGCCCAATAGGCGCGAACCTGCTGGGGTTGAAAATTTGAAGCCAGGAGAGGCTATTTCCCGGTTTCTGGAGACACAATTTCAGTCTCAGACTATGTCCTTGCATAATCCCAGTTTAAAGGATAATAACCAGAACTGGTATTTTTTTAAATTGAAAATTTGGTTATTCACTTGTAAACCTAATGTGCAAAAATTGCATATTACAGTTTTGATGATATAAACAGCATGTCATCTTCGCTCATTTGCTGAAACTGTGAAAACTTGAGAACAACATCATTAATAAAAACACTAAACTTATAAATGAAACACACAGCAGTTGTATCAAAAATGTATGACTAGAAAGTACACAAGTTTGAATCAAAGGCTAACACATATTTTTGAATGATGAGTGTGTTTGTTATCTATTATTAATTTGTTATTCAATTATTAATGAATATATTATTCAATTTTGGCTTCAACTAACTAACCATTCAGGTTTGAACTCGTTGGCTAACAACAAATTACAAGAGGAATTTCCTCTGACCAGAGATTGTGTGGCAAATAATGTTAGTCAAACTTGGAATATTTCAGAACAAAACTTTATTATGAAAATGCTATCATATAATTATCTAAATTGTGCTATTCTACCTAGTCTTGGTCTTTTCATGAAAATAGCACATAATTTTCATTTCTTTTTTTTTTTATTGACCCTCTTGGCGTGACAAACCCAAATAGATTTGGAAAGGGAAGCAGGTGAAAGATACCTTTGATTCATTTTAGCAATAACTTTAAATCATTTTAAAAGAAAAATACCAATAGAAAAATAGAAAGATTAAATGATTGTTCATTACAGAAAGTACGCGGCAAATTTGCCACAAGGGGGTGAGAAATCGCCAGTTGTCGGCAAAATTAATTTTGCGACTAGAAATTTAAAACAACTTGCATTTTTGGGACTGAGAAAATTTTGGCTGATGATTGTTCATTTTTTATGAGCGGGAACGAAATTTACTTTTACCAAGATTCCCTATCAACAAAATGTTTAAAGACATATTCTTAAATAAATTATGTAAAGTGTTGCAATGACCTAAATTACATAATATTATGACAGCATCAGGGGTGTGCAATTAGCATCGCCCGAGGACCGGGGTTACCATTTTTTGGGGTCGGGCGAGTGGTTTTCTGCATGCAGGTAGCCCCGTGGCCTAGTAAAAATTAAAAATGCTAACGTAATATATGAAAATCACTACTGGTATTTTCACTCATTTTTTGCTATTAACTTCCCAACCAATGAAAAATTTCCAGGCAGCATGCTCCTTTTATTCATAAATCTCCATAATCTTAATATTCATTTTGCAGCACATCCTGACTTATTTACTTCCAAAAACGATCGTTTTTTTCTAATCCAAATTTCCTCCATTCACGTGTTTATGGTAAATAAAGGCAGATATCTCATTAAATTATTTACGATCACCCAATCAACTGAAAGATAAGTGTTATGTGATTTACATAAAATATATTTCCAGTATATTTAATAATTCAAGATGAAAGAAAATAATTTCACTTCGTTTTAGATGAGCTAGTGCAATGCACAGAAAAAGGAAAAATAATTTTTTTAATTCATTTTTATTTTCTATCATAATTCTTAATTTATACATGATCCAATTTTACTAGTGAGAATTAAACTTTAATTATAAAAAGAATGACCTTAAAACTCTGACTTTTTCAACAATAATCTCTTTTTTTAAATATTAGTTGTTACTTTTCCACCATGCACTTGGACTAGTAACTTTTTACTTGGGGCTAGTAACTTTATTGCTGCCACTAGCCCATGAGCTAGTACTTGATTTTTTTAATTGCACACCTCTGAGCATGCTATGATATAAAGTCCAGTATAATGGCATCCAAACATTTTAAACTTTTTAGCACCTGACCTTGTTAATGAAACATTTGCTTGCTTATCACAACTAATTAAGAGTGTTTTGGTGGTATTGACAGCAGCTGTTTAATAGGTATGGTACTATGTAATAAACATGGCAAACAGCTAGCAAAGTCCTGTCTCAATACATGTAGGTGTCCACCTTATGCACACACTAATCAAACTCTTTGAATTTCACTTAGATTTATTTTTAACTCTAGGAAATGTTATGATAAGAAAAAGTGTGACCAGATACATTACTGTCTATTTCTCAAGTTGAGGTCCCAGAAAAGAATGACAATGCTATGTTGTACATAAATGTATACCACTGTCCTTGTCAATTTAACATGTAAACTCTAGGGCTGTCACGAGTACCCGAAATAACCGAGAACCGCGGTCCAAGTTGTTTGGTTCGGTTTCGGTTCCATTTTTCCGGATTTCGGTTCGGGTCTGGTTTATATATTAGAGTCTGTTCAATACAAAAAATGGCGTCGAAATCAAAGGAATGATGAAGATAACAGTGATAAATAAACATCACAACTGAAATCTACTTCATTCCAGGACAAAACACTTGTCACCGAAGTATTAGATAATTATCAAAACGAGCAGGAATGGTCAGGTTGTGGCTAATAGTAGGCCAAGTAGTTCTACACACCGATGTCTAGATGTTCGCATGGTTAAGACTTGTTTTCAATGTAAATTTAATGTAACAAATTAATAAAGATTTTTCAAGTTAAATTCATGAAATTAAGGTTTAAAATAGTTGTATATAACCGAACCGAAAAACCCGAAACCGAACCAAAAATTTACAGAACCGACCCGACCCGAAAAATTTTGGAACCGTGACAGCCCTAATTGTTTTCACACTGCCATGCAGCAATACACCCCCCCCCCCCCCATCCTTGTTTCCTTCGGAATAAAATTCTTTTTTTTTTAAAATTATATTTGGTAAGAATCTTATTTTCAGAGATTACTGTGAAGCAACACTTAAGGAAGACAGTTGCTGCTAAACATACATATCTTGATCAAGATATGTTGTGATATTGAATAAATACTGAGTAATCTAATTTCCTAATAAGTAGGTAACAAAGTTGTTAGACCAAGAACATATTTACCTTGAAAGAAACTAGAATAATGAAGACAATTTTTGAATGAATTAGGTATAATCTAGAAACAACAATATTGTCACATTCCCAGTGGAAATCCAGTGTTCAATTTACTGTTTTATTTATAAACTAATGTAAGCTACGTAACAATATAAATTTCCATCAGAAATATTTACTTGTCCAATCGGACAATTATTGATAGTTTCACTTGCCAAAACTGAGAATTTACTTTAAATTCTATTCTACTACGGTTATTGCAAAGATCAAAGAGATGCTGCAGCCATTATTCTCCAATAAACCACAAACGTCATTAACAAATTATTGATAATTTTAAATCGGTTTCCTCTAATTTTGACTGCCTTCACTAGAAAAAGGATAGGGGAATCTTTTGATTGTGTCACAAATTGGTGGAAAAATATTTAATGTGCAAAATTAACGCCTGTCCGATGTTCCGAATCTATCTCAAGTTGAATCGGGCTACCCTGATCCGAAACACAAACTAAATAAAACAAAAAGACGAGGAAAAAAAAGAATCTCTGAAAAAAGGAAAGCCATGAAGATGATACTAGAGTTCGTGTCTGTCACAAGCATTAACTGGTCTGCAGAGTGAAATTTATATACCATGAATCTGAATACAGATTTTTGTGAAAATTGATTTCATATTTTATTTTCACAAGGTAAATATGAAAATATAACAGATACTTTAATATCAATTTCCAAAAAATACATATGAACACAAAAATCAAGTGCATATTTATCAAGATGACTTTTTGTGAACAGTCACATTTGTCGATGGCCTAGCTATCCCAATTTAAAATGAGATAGCCCAATGGGCTATTTCATTCTCTTAAGTTAGCTTCGCACACTGTATTTACATTGGGTTCTGATTACATCGTATTTTTTCTAAGCCTTGAGATACAAATGAACGAGGATAGCATTGAATTGTGACATCATACGTGATGTCCAAATCTAGCTTCTGCATTTCTCTTTATGTAAGTTTCAATATTCGCCATAGTAGAATAGAAATAACTCCCTCATTGTCGGAATAGTTGGAGAATATACCCCTCAGTCTCTAGATTTTGTTGGCAAATAAAAACCTCGCCCTTGACGTGCTCGGTTTTTATTTGCCAACAAAATCTAGAGACTGTCGGGTATATTCTCCAACAATTCCTCCGACGCGGGAATTATTTCTTAAATCAATCATGTTTCCAAAGAACATTGCTGGAATGTTAAAGATTGGTAAATAAAGAAGTTTAAGTTTCTGAATCATGACGATAGTGATTATTAGTATTAAAAATGCATTCAGGAACTGCTTAAACTTCTAAACGTCCAAACTGCAACTTTAATTTGAAAAGGTTTTTGTTAACCATTTGTAAATTCAATAATTGCCAACAGTTCAGGCAGAACTGGTGACATTTGCAAACTGTGTTGATAAATTATGATTACTGCCAATAACTCAACATACCACACAGTGACTGTCTGAGGATATCAACATTGTCCAATATTTGTTCACAGTGTTCGTGTGCAACACCCATAATTTGCAGTTGAGGCAGTTGGAGTTGACATAACTGAAATAACATACAAAAAGTCAAATGAAAGATACAGGCTTAAAGACATGCATTTTAGTTTATCAACAGTTTCTACTGTATAGTAGCAAAATAAAGACGCCATTTTGGATCAAATATATGAACCACTTACCGATTGGAGCGTTTTGAACCCATAAGCTTCAAAAGTTTCTGCATATTGTTTACACATGAAAGTTTCTAGCCAACGTTCGACCTGTCCAGGCATCTTTTTCACTCCTATTCTATCTCATCGGGGATTGTGTGAATCCCATTGCCTTACACATTCCTAAACTTAGCATAATGGCTGAAATCACGTGATCATGCCTATAGTCCATTACTCTATGGATCCTTGCTGTTATATTATAATAAAAAGTATACATTCTCGTTGTACTAATAAAAAATAAGAATACACTGACCCGCAAATGGTAAATTTGTCAAAATTAAAACACTCATTAAATTTCCGGAAATATGATTAGAGTAGATTGAAATTTAACTGACACTCAACAACTTCCGTAGCGTCCAAGAAGAGAAGTTTCAAAAGGTGATTGCGTTTTAACATTGAAATTATTTTTGCGTCGCACTGTATAATATAAAATTATGAGTTTGCCTACGAAAAACTCAATCATACTGATTCATTATTATTTCAGAATATACATGTATCCTATGCTTGAAACCGTTGAAAACAACAATGTTTAAATTATACCTCGTTTTCCTTATTAATTTGAATTTCTTTTATTTCAAAGACGGTCCACCTGAAAACCAGGCATGGAGCTGCACATTGCTTGTTAGGCCTATGGATTGTGATTATTTTAATGCATGTATACTACTTTAAGGTAGGTGGCGGGTTTACTGCATAAAAATTCTTACGAGAAAACATATCCTGAAAATTTTATATAATGTTCCTTAGAATTTGCAGCATATCATCTGAAATTTTTATTAAATTTGCCTACGTGGTTTTAATGCTATATTACTGTAAACACGGTAAAGTTTTTGGTACTAATTTTACGGTTTACTATAGAAATATATGGGAAAATGACGTTTTTAAAACAATTTTACCGAAAGAGTTCTTTAGAAAAGATCGGATAACTTTTTAAAGACATAGACGAATTACTCAGAAATTTCAAAGTATCAAGATGAGGTAAAATTAAAACTATTGAGGTAAAAAAATCAATATGTCTTCTCACTAGTTGTTTTGCTAGATAATTTTAAAGTTTGCTTTTATATTGCCAAAATATTGCATATATGGCGTTATTTATGACTAAAACCTCATATATTGAACGTAATCGCGTTTACATGTAAGTATCTTTATATTTGGAATATACAAGATCTAAAAGGTGACATAGATGCACACTGTAATTTTATTCAGCATTTCACTTATTGCGGAAACATGTTAGGAAGAACAGCAACTTATCTACTCTAGGATTATGAAATTCATATTCTGCCCATGAAGTCAGAATGAATGACATATTGATATAAACATTCTTCTTGCATTAGAATTAATATGCAGCGACAACACTGCAATTGATAATAAATTAATACAAGTAATGTTACGATGTTCAAGTTCATTATTAAGATTTCAAGTATAACACATGAATTTTATCACTTCATTCGCAATCACTAAAGAAAGGAAAAAAAACACCCCACTACTGAGGAGGGGGGGGGGTTACCAGCAATGTTCTTTTTATATCAGTCGCATTTCAGTATATAGTCCGAACTTTCAAACATTTCTTTCTTGATTTTTTTTTTCTTTATCAATTTTTCATCGGCAAAATGTAAAATACTTGCATTCAGCTTATACACAGACAGCTTAATTTTGTTATAGAAAAAATTGTACTTGATACTTGTATTTCGTAATACATGTAGCATATAAATATCTGTTCAGAGTGTCATAAAGGTCCGATATGCCGGGTGTTTGTATAAATTTATTTTAACATGTTTAATGCATTTCACTATGATAAATCAATTCCTTGCTAGCCTGCATATAGAGAACGACTTTATCAGATTCAAATACCAAAATTTTTTTTTTTTTTTTTTAAAAAAAAAAGGAAGAGGAAAATGCATGTAATTAAATTTCATCTGTTTTTAGTGTTGAGAACTGATTTAATCTTAAAAATAACAAATTTGGTTTTTTTTTCCGGCTGTGATGAGCAAACATGGTGCATTATGCACATTCCCTTCGTTGCAAATTACGTGCATACATACAGCCTTTCAATTTTTCGGCTTAGCAATTTAGGGTAACTTTCATTTTGCATGCCATATCTTTAATTTAACACTGACTCATTTTGATATACCTTTAGCAGTTTAGTATCATTTACAATATAAATTATTCCTTGCATTTTGCATTGCATTTATTATGTTTTATTAGTTGTTCTTATACATTACACAGATAATCAGAGCAGAATTCAAACTTATAATATTCTGGGTTCATACTTTTACGAAAATACAATTACGGGCAATAACATGTACTTTCTACGCTTCGTACGGATTAGATTTTGTTACTAAAGTTATTTTCAGAAAAATAAACGGGAAGCAATGCAACGTTGCCTTTGTTATGTAACTGACGTCATAATCAAATGTGCACAAAACAACCTCTCGAATCATCGAAATTGTGTACCGAAATTGATGACAAAAGCAAACCCCTGACCTACCTTAAGTACATGTTTTCACGTGATGACATTTAAAAATTGTGATGTTCCTCTTATTTTTGGTAATTTTAAATATTGATTTTATCCTCCAACTTTGGATGTCAAATTGATCTAGTTTTTAACAGTTTATTCAAAATCAATCAGCAATTTTACAGTTTTTTAACAGTTTATTCAAAATCAATCAGCATTTTTATAGTCATAAAGCAATATATCCTTAAAAATGGAACATCGAGGATCTGATTTTAATCAGATTGCATATTAATTTTGCTGATTCCCTGAAAATCTATGTAAAAAGACTGATTCCCTGCAAAAAGATGCATCAATTTGATGAACTGATACACTCTTATTCAGAACACCTTGCAATATCTTTTTATCCTATGAAAAGCTCCTAAATGTTCCAAATAAAATCATGAATATTCATAATGCTGCTCAGTGTAAGTTTTACATATAAGGAGGCAGGGCCTAATAAACAAAATATTGCTTGCAGATTCATGTATTCTATAGACAGTTTATTCAAATGCAATGCATTGGTATTGAATTTATTCATTTATTTTATCTACATTCTGTGTAACTGGTATTTCCATTGCGTACCTTATAATAGCACTGTGTATAAAATAGAATTGCAAAACTTTACCAGATATATGGCCTAAGTTCTGTATTATGTATAATAAAACAGTTGAAATATATCATTGATGGAGTCGGCAAGATTCCAGTTCCTCAAGAGCAAGCCTATTTATCTAAGGCTAAATAGGCTTGCTCTTGAGGAACTGGAATCTTTCTGACTGATATACTGTAACTGTACAATAATGTATAAGTGGAATTTTTAACTAGATGCAAATTCAGTGATTGTCCTTAAAAATCAGTATTTAATTTTAGCCAGAAGTAATTTTAGCGATTTTATGATGCATAGAAAGATAACAGTTACCTCTAATGAATTGTTAGCAATATTTGATTTTAGCGATCTCAACACCCTCTCAAAAAATGCCAAAGTTGAATCCTCGCTAAAGTTTCTGCTTATACGGTATCTAATTCATAGTGTATAGCTTAAAAAAGATATTGTGCCAAACCTTCAATACAATACCATATTCAATACAGAAAAAATGCAACAGTTAATCAGCAGTAAAACAATAAAAATAAAAGTTGCTTTTCATCTTGGCAATGATTTTCATTGTGACACACCATATATTACATGTAAGTGGTTGCAGTTATAATGTTTCAACTTTGAGATATAATATTTTTTGAATAGGAAAACAATTGTAGATGTAAAAGTAGTACTCCTTTCAAAATTTAGAAGAAGCCTCTGTATATTAAATCAGACATTGTTGTGTGATTTTTTTTTTTAAATTTAGTTTCATTTTTTTAAACAAAGAATAAATGTAGTTGATTTTGAATGTTTTATGGGGTTTTTTGTAGAAGTAAAGAATTTGCAAAAAATGGACAGAGTAGAGAAACCAGAGGAACCCACAGCAGTCATACGTATGAAGAGAGACTTTGATGAATTTATCTCAGGATCAAAGCAAAATAGGAGTGGCATTAACTTTAATTTGGATCAAGATATCACTGAAGATCTTGGAGTACCTAACTTCCCTCATTCTGTTTTTTCTGTCAATTCCTTGTTAGGTATACTTATTTAATTGATGTCTTCAAGATACAAATATAGTTGAACTTCAGTATCTTGAACATAGATATCTCCAACTCGAATAACATGGATATTTCAAAGTTGAGATTTCAGTCCCAACTACTTTTTAGCTCACCTGAGCTGAAGGCTAAAGTAAGCTTTTCTGATTGAAAATTTTCTGTCATTATTATCAACGTCATTGTCATAAACTTTTCACATTTTCATCTTCTTCTCCAGAACCACTGGGCCAATTCAACCAAACTTGGCAAAAAGTATTCTTGGGTGAAGAGGATTCAAGTTTATTAAAATGAAGGGCCACACCCTCTCCCAAGGGGAGATTATTAAGAAATAGTAAATATGGGGTGGGGTCTCTTGATATTGATGAGTTAGAGATCAAGTACGAGTTTCATGTTGATTGACCCAAGCAATTTTTACAAGAGTTATGGCCCTTAGACTTTGAAAATTTCTAATTATTTACCATTTTCTGCAGGTTTCTTTTTTGACTGTGCTTGTAGATAATGAACTGATGTTTGGTATTTCTCTTTAAATTGAGGAATTTCAGGTCAGGTTTGATTTTCATGTTGATTGACCCATTTTAATAAAATTTGTGGTCCTTAGACTTTGAACATTTCTAATTATTTACTGTTTTCCAGAGCTTTTTTGCTGTGCTTGTAATTGATCGCCATTTTAACACATTTTAAGTATGTTGTGGTATAGACAACTGATTCCAGAAAACAAAAGCAGCAATGTGATATTTTATTTTTGTGCCACTTTCCACCCATTGTTATTTTCAAATTCTTGGACATTCACATATTCAAGGCTTGCCTTCCATGTCACACTGACACATGCAATTTTTTTTTTTCAGAAAAGGAGAGAAAAGTAAATTTGTTGAAAGACATAGAGTTAAAGAAAGCACAGTGTGAAATTAATAAACTGAAAAGTGAATTGGTTTCAGAGCAAACATCTAGAAAGAGATTCAGGATAGAATTAGAAAAGGATTTAAATTCATCAAAGGGAGAAAAGGAGGTAAGTTAATAATCAAAAT